TAATGAAGGCTTAATATCTATACTTAAGGATTAATACATTTAACATAAGCAACAACTGTACTAACTTAAATTTCATGGACAAAAATGAAGACATCTAGTAGGATAGAAATGTCAACCATCCTAAAAGGTAATCTCATGGTTACTCAATGAAATACTGAGTTGGCAAACACCCCTCTTTATCCATTCTCTGAGGGCATATTTAAAAAATTATGTCTATAAATGTTATCTTCCTAGATATTAATAATAACTGTAAAATTACTTACGTCCATTTTAGTTATTACATGAAATTGTAAACAATTTAAAATAGAACATGTCCTTTTTTGTAGAAGTACTATATTGGTAGTGTTTACAATAACTTTCAACTAATTTTGCTAAATAAATCTAAATTAAAATTTGCACAAAAAATTGACAAAATGCACAAATTATCATTTTTTGGGTTAAAGATTTTGTAAATCTCTCAGGTATTTAATTGTGAACAATATTCATAAAGATGAAATAATATCAAGTGTACAATACAACTTCACTGCTTTAATAATTTATATGGGAAAATAATTGTTTTAAGAAGAACATGCATAAAGTTGTAAGAAAACATGAAAAATTTCTGTTTCTCATTGGAAGAAACAAAAAGTAGATATTAATTGATTTTTATTTCTAAGCATTTAATAATTTTAAACTCAGTCTGAAAAACTGTAAAACATATTGGTTACAAACTAGTTTTAAAATATTTTATAAAAGAATTTTCCTTTTCCACTTACTGTCGAAAATGTTATCAAAGGTCGACCTTAAATTCTTACAAAAGAAACATTACCATGCTAATCATTTTCACATATAGCTATTCTAATAAATTGATTTTATGCAGCAATTAAAATGAAAGCTATTAAGCATGTGTTACTATTATTGCTGGCATTTCAATTGGGGAAACTGAATTTTCTTAATATCTCTGCAAGGGAGGTTGGTGACAGGTTTTTATTACCCTTCATTTTACTAAGAAACTGGTAGATGAGAACAAAATAAATTATTGAAGTAACTACCAAGAAGAGGCTTATGTGCCCTATTTTGTTGTGTGGCTTTAACCATACTGGTATTCTTTTTAAGGGACAGAATTGTAATAACCAGTGAAAATATTTAGAAAAATAAATCTAAAAAAAATTAGAAAAGTACACTACATAAAATTTCATTGAGTTATAAATTCATCATTAAAATGTACACTATGTTTTTGCAACTACAAAAGCATACTTTGACATTAACAAATTTTAATACAACTACTAATATATCATTAACACTTTTGAAAAGAAAAAAATGTTCTTACCTTTAATCTTATTCATTAAAGATGCCTGCTGAAATAGTCATCATTTGAGATACTCAATTGCTTGGTAGAAGACAGTGAAATTTGCTAAGCTCAAAGTTCTGAGCTAATGACCTGCCATTAGATAATTAGACTTTTCACCTGTGAATTCTTGCAATATTTTTTAATAGAAAAATTTTGTATAGCATTTAAAACAAACACTATTTAAGATTTCAATTTAAACAGAAGGATTGACGGTTATGGATTTCAACAACAACCATTAGAGATCAAGATTGCAAATAATTAAATTTTCTTCTGTATGTAAACCTGCTTTCCCTCTAAAGTTCAAAATAAAATAAATGTCCCTACTTGCATTTTTCTGCAGATCACATGACCAATCCAAAGCTACATGTAAAATGAGCATTTTGGTTAAATTACATCATTGCATTCTTTTGAGGTTTCATTCATACTACAAATAAGTGGGGTAGAGGGAAAGTGTTCACATTCATTTCAATCAGACCCACATTCTTTCCTTCTAATAACATTTAAAAGCCAAAAATTTCAATGCTGATTTTCAAAATGTAATCTTTGCGAATACTTATAAGCAAACTAAAAAGCTGAAAAAAGGTTTACAACAAGCCAGTAGTAAAGTCAACCAGTTCTCAAGACCTTCCAGTTACCCATTCCAGATTAAATTTAGGATAGTAATCATTATACTAATAAATAAGAGTAAAACATCTAGTGCACCATTTCTGAACGTTTGTTCTGAGAGGTGTTAACAGATGTGTGGAAAGGATTGATTCACCTAAACATTTACCAGGTTGCACGTACATTAGGTACTGTGCTAAAAGTTCCAGTCCAAAGCCACAGTCCCTCCTGTGAAGGAGTTTACTGTCAAGGAAATGTATTGAAGCAAATGTTTACAGAATTGTGAAGTGCTAAAAAAGAGACATGTATATTGTGGCTATACAAAGGACTGAGCCACTATGAGGGGGAAAGGTGCAAGGAGGCAGTGAAGATACTACAGTGAACAAGGTTTTGCAGCAAGAGCAGGAGTTAGCAAAGCAGGGAAAGGAGAGACAAGGTGGAGGAAAAGCAAAGAAATATAAAACACAACAATGATATGATACTGAGTGGTCTCATATGACTAGCAGGTAGGGAACAAGGGAGAGTACTCGAAGATGCAACTGAAGAGATAGCAAGGGCTACTTTAGGAAAGATCTTGATTGTCACGCTAAAGCGTTTGTGCTAAGAACTTTATTCTAAGGTTAATAAGTATGATAAGATTTGTGTGTCAGAAAGAAAAAAGGCAGTATCAGAAGAGGATAAGCTCCAGACAAGGAGCCCAGATAAGAGACAGTTAATGACTGATAAAAGAACAACAAAGTGTTTTTTTTTCTTTTATCAGAATTATGGGTCCTAGTTTTCGACTCAGAAAAAAAAAAAATGGTTAGATGCATAAAGTGTCAATGAAAAGGCCACAGAAATTGGGAAGTCATACGGCATCTCAACTACAAAGAGTTCAAAGTTACTTGCAGTTCTAATGCTTGCTTATGCAGCTGTGATCCCTAGGCAGTACAGGAAGTTTCTGCTCAAAAATAGCGGGAAAAACTTTTGATCGCTATTTTTCTTACTTCTAAGTCCCAGAAATTTCTATGTCATTGTATTCACATAATTTTTCTATCATGAGATATTGATTTAACATATTAATAATAAATTTTTGTTATTAAAAAAAAGACAGTTAATGACTGTCCCAGGTAAAGCAGTAGGAGTATCAAAGAGGAGGAAGGTTTTAGGAGGTTGATAAAGTAAAACCAACAGAATATAGGTACCAATTGGATAAAGGTAAATAAGGAGAGCAAACATGATCCCCTACATGTCCTCCATTCATATAAAAATACTTACCGCTCAGACCTACTTAGTCTTATATAGCTCATCCTTTGGCACAATTCCAACAAACACTTCTAAACCAATAACCCGCAAATCATCAACCAGAACATAACCCCTACATTTTACTATTTTTCAATCAATCAATTCAAAAATATCATAGTATATTTGACTTAGACTTGAGTCCTAAGAGAGTATATTATCCAATTGCCCCTATCTTGTAAATGAGAAAAATCTACAGCCTAAAAATGCTAAAGTAATAAATCCATTAAGCAACAGAACTGGTTCTACTTCAGATTTCCACTGCATTTCTTCACAGCCAAATCCCCTGTTATAAATCAGGCTCCCTTAAATTCATGCCAGGAAAAGTGAAAAACTTAACTGATCTCTCTGCCTCTTGATGTTTTCCACTCTAAAACATGCTATCATTGCCAAATTAATCTTACTAATAGACCGATTTATGTCATTTTTGCTGAAGTGTTCTACTGCTCATATATCATAGAAATACTACTCTAAGATTGGGAGGCTAGATTCTGGTCCCAATGCTACCACTGTATCAGTTGCTGCCTGCTCTCCTGGGGAAACAAAGGGTCTTCACATTGAAGCTCAGGCCCATCCAGCTACTCATACTTCATATAGTAAAATAGGAAAGTACATTTGGAACCACAAGCACAACCAGTGAAGCAATATAGTACTTCTTAGTTTAGCCTCTGAAAACAGACTACCATAATTTAAATTGAGGCTCTTAACAGCTATGTGACCTTGGGCAAATGACTTATCTGTACCTCAGTTGTCTCATCCCTAAAACTGGGACAAGAACAGTGCATATCGCATTAGTTTGTGAGAATTAAATGAGTGGATAAATGTAAAACATTTAGTGTATGTACTCAATAATTGTTAGCTCTTATTACTGCCATGGGTTAGAATCAGGAATCTAATCTTACTGTCTAGAATTTACTTAAGTGTGCCACACAGACTCTTAAAGCTTTTTACCTCAGTATCTTTAATGTTTTGAGATTTTTCTGCCATACCTCCCCCATTCTCAAACAAAATACATTAGGTATTAGTTTTGATTGCTGAGCAATTTACCCTAGTATGAAATAATCTACCCACTTCTGAAGATGTGGGTATAATTTGGTCATCAGGGAAGATAAGAGTAAAAAATCATTCTAAATGGACAGAGGAAAGAACTAGGTAAAGACAAAGAGAAACAAAATATTTATGTGTAAAAATATGAAGCAAAAAATAAGACCATAAGTAGAGGCAGAAGATTCTAATGCCAGACTCGGGCTATAATTTTGGTATTTTGTTTTTTTATTTTGTTGGCAATATTGAATTAAGCCCTGAACACTTAATTTATAATGTATGTGCAAACTACCCTCAGAATCGGGAAACTGAAAAAATGGTAGTAACCTCAGAAACACTGGCAGAAGTTGGTACCATTTGCCCTAAATGAAGGACTATACCAAAGTTTCATTTATCTTTCCCTTTCAATGGGTTTCCCATTACTTCCTGCTTACCAGCTATCAAAGGCCAAAGTCCAAAATGCCAGAAACCACTGTATTTTGATGCAGTTCCTACTTGCTTACTTACAATTACATACCAGGGGCAAATGTATTGCATCCACTTTGAAAAGGAAGAACTATTTTACAGTTACTAAAGATTTGGTTTGAGGCAGTAATGAGACAGTAATGTCCGTGGTAGGATAAGAGAATCTAAGGACATGATCCCCCATTACCTCCAATCCCAGTTACATTTCAAAAGGTTAGAGAAAGAAACAAACCCAAAATAAATTCTGTGTATCTCATAGATGAGATCAGTTTTTTTCTTTCTGCTAAACCAAATATATGAGTGAAGACACTCTGACCATTTTGAACATTTAAGACTCTAATAACTTGGATTATGACCAGAGTCAATAATTCCTCCAAATAAGTTCAGAACTTCACAGGAAAATAATGGAGTGATTCTTTACATATTCTTCAATGGAAATATAGTAGAAGTAAACATTTTTAACAGAAATATTATTTTCAAATATAAAACATTTTTTAAAGGTTGCCATTCTGCTCTTAAAAGAGCTTACTTTCTGCTTGCATTTATGAAAGCTAATTAATGACTTATTGGTTTAGTTTAGAGTGGTATAATAAAGTGGTATTTCTCTTTGGACCAAGTCCAGATTCTGTTCTGGTGTAGCATTTCACAAAAATCACATAATCTAATATATACATGGTATTAGGGGTTTAACTAATTATGAAATCAGTTTACTGTGTGGCCCTGTGAAGATGTAGATTCAGTGTCTCCATTTCCGACTGCCTATTCTGTAATTACCCTGGTGGCATGAACTATGTCTCATTCATGTTTCCATTTCCAGCACTTGACAAAGAGTCTTGCATACAGAAGGCAGGGAATCAATGTTTGTTGCCAATGAATATGTGGAAGGGTTATCTATATTATACTATGAAAGAGCCATGTAGTTAGCACTGGTGCTAAGTATAAAGTTCAGTAGCCAGAAATACAACAGAGGAATTCACAGCTTCAAGGAGAGTCAGTTTTACATTTTCATTTTTTCCCTAGTACCCTTTAAATTAGGGGAATTTAATAAAATATAAAAGACATTTTTATCTATATAAAACATTTTACATCTCTTTTAAATCTTCAAAACAATCATGTAAAGATTATTTACAGAAGAATAAACTGAAGTAACTTGAACATAAAGTGAGAGAGCTGGGTTTTGAACTCTGATATTTTGACTCCAGTCAGTGCCCTTACATTATACTTTGCTTAGAACAAAATTGGAAGTCATTGAGAGAACTAAATCAACTTTTAAAATCACTTCAAACTGTGGCTTTTAGAACATTTGATTCAGTCAATAAATAGACATCTTCCAATAAGTAGACAGGTTTTCCAAGCTTGAGTTATTATGGATTTACTATGGATTCTTATGCTCTGAAGACGGCTAGAGGGAAATACCTATTCTCAACTTTTTGTCAAGAAAACAAACCTTACAAAATTTAAAACTTTACTTCCATTCTATGTAATAATTAATCTATCCAGGTAGATATACAGAAGAAAATGGAGAAAGGGGAAAAAAAGGGAGAAACATGATAGAAAAGAGCAATTCCATGACTGAGTTACAATCTAATATCTGAGAAAAGCAGATTAAAAAAAAAATCATCTCAAAGGTCTACAAAAGAAAACAGCCACTTTACTAGCACAATTACACATTTTTCATAAGTTTAGTAGTATTAGATAAGTAGCCGACTGGAAATGAATGCCTGGCAATAATTAATAAAAGGTTTTCTTTAAAAAAGGAATTCTGTAAGCTAAAAAAATAAAAGTTTTCCTCCTAAGCAGAGAGGATTATGTACCAGTTTTCAACAAGGGTGTTTGTTGTTTCACAGTCTTTAGATAGGAAAAGTCAGAACTACAATCAAATTCTGACATTTGAGAATTATATGAGGTGCAATTGAACACTGTAATAAAATGCTGTCCATCCAGCAGTTTGGAGGAATATACTCCAAGAACTATGGGCCAAAATTACAAATAACCGCAGTACAGTTAGTACAGTTAATGGATTGCCACTAAAACTCTCAATGATGAGAAGATTCCACTGATATGTGGTTTCCAGGATCTCCTGTAAGTAGCAGCAGTAATAACAGTACTAACAGCAGTAACAGCTGGAGCAGCAGCAGGAACAGCAGTAATTAGTAGTAATATTAGCAGCAGCAGCAGCTAGAGCAACAATGGCACCAACAACATTCATTTATTGATTATTTTTTGTCAGGCCAGTGCCAAATAATTTTAATTAATTATTTAAATAATTTGAATTACTTAAATTAATAATTTAACATCCACAGATTATCTCTATTTCTTATAGCCACCCTGCAAAAAATTATTACATACCTTTCACTAATGAGGAAGATAAGGTGAAATAATTTTCACAAGGCTACAGAGCTGGTTAGATATACAACCAGGATTTAAACCTGGACTGCCTTATTTTAAAGCTGTACTCCTTTCCCAACACTACACTTCACAGAAGTAAGGATAAAGATACTTTTCAGTGTGGAGGATTAAAAACAGTAGATTCCTACATTTCAGTAAATGATATAGAAAACGAGATCACAGTAGCTTCTCCATGTTTGTAGAGGAACGTATGGTCTTCCAGGTGGACAAATACCAGTGACTAGAGTGAGGCCGTAGAAGGATCTCAAAATCAGAGATGTGGGCTGAAAGATGAGATGAACCACAGTGTGGTCAGTATAAGGCAGTATAATTTAGGGGGAAAAATGATTTATACTATTTTTAAAGACAGAAATTACTAAAATGAACCGAGGATTCATAACTATTCCCTAAAACTACAAGTTTATTGAGCTTCAGACACCAAAAATCTAATTTTATGGCTAATACATGCTTCAAACAATTAGCTCTTAAGAAAGATTTACTGGGTTAGGAAAAGAAAGTTAACATAAATGATTTGTGAAAATGGTATGAGATGGTTAGAATGAAAAGCAGGCTGAAGATTAGGATAATTCTATCTGAATAAAATGCAGGCAGAAGTAAAATTATAAAAAGTAATGAGTAACAATGATAACTTTACAGTTACATAGTGCTTCCTATGTGACAATCACTTTCTAAGTACTATATACGTATACTAACTCATTTAATTCCCTCTACACTTTAGAACAGGTACTGTTGTTTACATGCATTTTACAAATAAGGAATGAGGCAGAAGTCTGTAACCTACCCAAAGTCACACATGTTCTAGTAAACAGCAGGGTAGGAACTCCAAACTAGGCAATCAACTGCAGAGCCTACGCTCTTTAACCACTACACCACACTGTACCTTTAAGGGTCTGAGAGGGTTTAAAATGAAGCTATCAAATCACCTAATCTTAGTATCAAAGAAGTTCTCCTGAAGCTGTTTAAGTACGAAGTAAAACTTTACTATATAAGAAATTCCTTAACAGATAATAAAAGGCTGAAAATAGTCTCAAGAAAAATAGGTAAGTGGGTAGACTGATAAGCTAAGCATAAGGAGTTAGAGAAGCCAGAAACAGATAATGAGAGATTCTTAAGCTTCTTAGTGTGAAATCATGTAAAGTAACCATACTCTCCAACAAAAATATCTCTTGCTGCTATAATCAGAGGCAGAATAAACTAATAACTGGTCTGTCCCTGTTATGCACTTATTAGATTTTACAAACAATAATGAGGATATCATTTTTCTAATATAATTTCTAAAAATATGAAAATGTACATTGCTAGCCTCTAGTTACAAACACTATCTTACAAATGATTCATAAACATAAATGAAATGTCTAGGAATCCATCTTAGGCAACAATACACAACTACTTTTTATTTCCCAGTTCATAAAATTTGAAAGATTACTCCAGATCAGTATTCTACACACTATTCCATGGAGATTAAGAAGTGAAAAAGTATTCAAAGAAAAAAATTCTAAGGTCAAACAAATATTCTCTTAGACATTCACAAGTCACATACAGCATGAAAAAGCCCATATCAAAGAATCCATTTAACTTTAACTTGCATTGCCTAAATTTATTTGACCATAGAAACTTTTCCCCCCAACTTATAAATTATGGACATTAGTTGTGCAGTACAGAACCTGGGAAAAAATGACCTACTTACCTTCTTTAATAGAAGTACAAGAGAACTACTTTTACAAGAGCCTATGAAAGAGTTAAATGTGCTGAGAAATAATGTGAACATTTAATTTTCTCAAGGTCAAAGAGTCCCTGTTTCTGCTACTGGGAATAGGATATGTGGCATTCTAAATTTATCTTGTCATAAGAACAAATTATGACAATGTAAGTATAACCAATATTGAATAATAGAATCTCAGAAGTCTAGAACAAGTCAGCACTCACACTTTACAAATAGGGTAACTGAGGCTCCAAGAACACTGCCACTCCCCTGGTTTTCTTTCTATACCATCGGCCACTCCTCAGTTTCCTTTGCCAATTCCTTCTCATCTCCCTGACCTTTTATTGTCAGATTCCCCAGAGCTCAGCCTGTGGACCCTGCCCTTTCTCTCTCTCTACTGTATCCTTTGGTGATCTCATATAGTCCCATGACTTTTTTTCACTGAATTTTAAATTTTGGTATAATTGTACATTCACATGCAGTTATTAAGAAATAACACAGAGAGATTCCATATTCCCTTTGTCCAGTTTCCCCAATGATAACATCTTACAATACAAAATAACAGTAAAAAATTATAGCACAAAAGCATAAGCAGGATGTTGACAGTGATACATATACCAACCTTACTCAGTTTTCCCCAGTTTTACTTGTATTTATTCCCACGACATTAAATGATATTTACAGCTTAGAACACCCCCCCTAAATTCATACAGGTGAATGCTTATGACTTCTCAACTTGCATATCTAACAGATATCAAAAACTAAAATATGTCCCAAATCACAGTCATCATCTTCCCTCTCAAATCTATTACTTCTAGTCTTCCCTATCTCAGTTAATATCAATGCCATCTTCGCAGCTGCTCACACCAATAACTGGAATCATCCTCAAAACTTTCTTTCTTCTACACTTCACATATAAACCATCAACAAATTCAAAACATGTCCCAAATCAAAACTCTTATCACCTAAACTGCTAGCAGCCTAGCCTTAATCCCCACCATCTCATACCTGGATTATTACAATAACCTCCTAATTAATCTCCCTGATTTTGTCCTTGGTCTTCTACAGTTTATTCCGAAGACAGCAGCTATGGTAATACAGACACTCTTCTGTATTTAAAGGTTTTCGTTGATTGTGGTTTTTATTGAGGTATAAAACACTCCTCTATTCAAAATGCTCTAATAGCTACTTATCTCATAGTAAAAGGCGAATTCCTTACAATGGTCCATAACGTCCTATACACATGGCCCACATTACCTTGCAAGCCCCAACTCCTACTATTCTCCCTCTTAATCACTTATTTGCAGCCAGACCAGTCTCCATGCAGTTCTTCTTTCAGGTCTTTACTCAAATGTCATTTCTCTGTGAGACCTTCCCTGACTACCAAATTTTAAATGGCAGCCTCCAAACTCCCACCCAGTACTTCTTATCTTCCTTCCCTATGTTATTTTTCTCCATAGTATTGACCACTATCTAACATACTATATACTTTATTTACTTTATATTGTCTGTCCTTCACCACTAAAATGTTCGTTCTGTGAAGGCAGAGATTTCAGTCCATTTTTCTAGCACTTAGAAGGGTGCCAGGCACAAGGCAGATGTTCAAGAAATATTTGCTGAATAAACAAATGAGGCCCAAAGAGGTGAGGAGTTATGCCAAAATATCATAAAAATAGGGCAAGAATCCAAGTCTCTGTACTTTAGCAGTCATTTTTTCTCAAAATAGCGATGGACTTAAACTGAACCAATCTCATTTTTTTTCCAGTGGTAACCAAAAGCACACATGCATGAAATGGAAATTTCTGATCAGGTGAATAAACTATTTAGAATAACCTGATGGCAAGGAGGGATTAGACTCAAGCTAAAACTCATTAGCACAAAGTTAAAATATGACCAACTGCCTATAATCAACAAGTTTTGTACTAGCTGCCTTAGGTGTTTTATTTAAATTATTTTTTAAAAAAGGAAGTTATAGGTGATAGAACTTTAGGAGTTTAAACTTTAAGAAAATGAACTTGATAATACTATAAAACAGAGTCCCATGGAAGAACACAAAGCAGTACTCCTACATTGCTATAGCAAGAATACAATTTCTCATATTTTTTAACTATAGCCAAGGTAGAGCAAATATCTATAAATGAAAAAGGAGTTTATGTTAAAAATGTAAAGAAGTTGTTTCTGGACAAAATTTTTAAATTAAAAAAAAAAACTGGGTAGAAAGAGGGTGAATGACAAAACTTCCTAGAGACAGATAAGGAAATAAAGACTAGCATAACACCAAATTCACCTACTGAGAGACAAGCCACTTCCAGAGCTTTTGAAAAATTATTCATTTACTGTAGAAATTAGTTTGGAAATTTAAAACTAATGGGTTCAAATTTTTTGATTATTAATTGCAAGAAGCACATTACATAATAAGTAGTCATCTATACTGGCTTTAAATCTGTTTCAAAGTAAAACTGAGCAAGTTCTGACTTCAGAGTAAAAAAACGTGACTGAGTCATATTTCCAGAGCCTGCCTAACCCTTATGGCAACTAAGATCACAAAAGGTATTTTGCATGTCATTAAAATTCAGTAAGTTGGTAGAGTATAAACAGTGACCTTTCAATTGTGCCAGAGGAAAAAAAGCAAGATGCACTAAGTAGATACAGCTCTCAGTGTGCAGGCCAAATAATAGGGCTTCCATGAAACAATAAAGGCAATGCTCCTATTTATATGATTAAATCTACAGCTTTCATATGAAATTCTTTATTAGTAAACAATTCCTGAGGCACTTAAACAACAGAATTTTTATTAAAACAAAATAATAGCATCAAAACTGTTTATTAGAGCTATAGTCAAAGTAACTAAAATAAACAAATGTCAACTTTTAAAAATATATATGTGGAAATATGTTTTATATATGATAGAAACAAGTGCATTATTGGCCCTTATATTTTTTTAATGTTACCACTACCCAAAGGAACTATTAATAGCTAAGTAGGTATTATGTATTAGATGTACAAATATGCAACTTTAAAACTTGTTTTACTGTATAAAAATATAAAACTAAATTTAAAAAAAACCTTGTTTTAAGGTCTCCAAGAATAGGTTTTGTCAATTCTTTACACCTTAGAACTCACAATTATTAAGATAATATTAATAATAATAACCCCAAAATAAGAATGGATATAATCATGTCTAACGGTCTGAACAACAGCCAAATTAAAAAGCTATAAATAAGCAGCTAAAGGAAATCTGTAGAGAATTCTAGGGAATATCTTGGAGTTCTTAACAAAACAAAGCAAACACTACACAACAGTTTTAAAAAAACGAATATAAAAATAGACATCAATACATTTGGAGAACATAAAACCAAGCTATCAAAATTAAACTAAATTTTTTAAAAATAAAAAATCTGATAATTGATGCTGTTAAAAAACTATGAAGTTACTCCTGGGTAATACATTTTAAATAACAGTAAAACTAAGTGAAATTTTGGAACATAATTGTAGAGACCTGTTGTTCCAAGGATATGAAAAATAACCATTTCCTAATAACCAGAGCTTTTGTATTCCTTGGATGCATTCATGCTAGAGGAAGATTAAAGGGAAGCAGCCAAAATGACTAAACTTCAACTGGGACACTGAAGCACAGATTTGATTTTCTTGGCCAGAAGTGACCCACAAGCTTAAGATCAAGAGCCAAAGCCCCCAGTGGGAAGCTGTGCTCTATTTGGTGGGCCTTGATACCATCTCTGGCTATATCAACATCAGCCTCATGGAAGGCCAGCCACGAGAGAAGGGAGTCTCCCCAAGATCTGATTTCCTGAGACCACAACCTAGAGCAGGTCCCACAGTCAAATTAGTCACATTCCTTGGAAAGAGAGAACAGGCATCAGTTGTGTCCATCGAAGGGGGACACTGTCCAGGTGTACCCTGAACATTTTTTGAAATCTCTGGGCTGCTTCTCCATCTGAAAAATAAGAAAAATAGCACAATGACAGACAACGAATGAGGAAAAAGACAATCATCTGGCCTAAAAAACTTAAGACTTATAAGAAATTAAGAAAGCAGACAAGACAGACAAAAAGACAAACAGCCATATCATTTGGAACATATTATTCTGAAGTCAAGTACAGCAGAGAAAAACACAAATTATTTTAAGCAAAGTAAGAAATGACCATAGCAACAAAAGTTATTTTTGGAGAGAGCCAACTGGAGAAAAAAAAACGTATGTTAAGATATGTCAACCTGACACAAAGATAAGGTGGAATAAGAATCTAGTCCCATTTGAAGCTGAAAAGAGCTGAATAATGAGAGCTAGTGTCATGAACTTGGCTGCTTAACTGCCTTTGTGTAAGAAAACATCTCAGAACTTTGAACTTAGGAAATTCCAACTTGTCTTGCACCAGGTCACGAGCTCCATAGAGCAGGAACCTATTTCAACAAGCAGCTTTAAAAAAAAAAAACAAAAAAAAACACAAAATACTTTAATATTTTTCATTTCTGTTAATGATACATTTAAGAATGCAATAGTGCTAAAATCCATCAAAGTAAAATGCACTGAATAAAAATTAAACTTACTCAGAAAGATGTTCAGAAGTTGGGATACAAACAGAAACTGAAATTAGAAGAAAAGTATTATATTTAAAACAGCATATGAAATATGATGAATGAGAAAAACGATTCAGTAAAGAGCACATACTGCGGCTGACCAATAATACCGGAATAAATATCAAAAATCCAAAGTAAAACAATTTTATATACGTACCTTTCTCTATTACAACTTGACAAGCATGAGTTTCATGTTGACTTAAGTGTGTAGCCATATTATCTAAGCCAGAAACATCAGTTAGGAAATCACAATTAAGGCACACTAGAGTAATGCCCCTATAAAAAACAAAGCAAATAGTATAAAAGAAAATGTTTTTATCTTTTATGAAAATCCACACACCAGTTCAATGAATACTTTTCCGTGATTTGCTTTTTGTGTCATAACTGTCATTCCAATTTTTGTTATATACACTTGATATAACTGAAATGATTCTCTAGAAAATGTCATAGTCATATTCAAATTATACTACCATTTATTTACAGAAAGTATTTTTGCTTTATAAACTTTTCTCTCTCATACCAGTTACTGAAAGCTAAGAGTCAAGAGACCTACAGTCCAGTCTTGGCTCCACTAACAACAGGGGTCACTTTGACAAGTCACAGTCTATTTGTGCCTATGCCCATCTGCAAAACAAGAGTTCAGTATATTATAAATGTACAATATATACATTAGTCAGTGTATATTTACTAAGGCTGTCGTTACACATACTGTACTACTAGTGTACTGTATTGTGAATACAATGACGACCAAAAAATACAGTCTGTGCTCTAATGGAACATTTGTCTAGTGTTTTCTAGGTGAGGAAAAAATTAGAAATGTGAAGGCTTTAAAAATAGATCATTGTCGTAGCTGCTATCGTTGTATACTATGTGTTAAAGATTTTCCTATATATTATTTAGTTTATTCTCACCACAAGCATCCAAGGTTGGTATTATTCTCATATAACACTGAATTAATTGAAGTAGCTAATTCACTATTGAAGTCCAAAGTCTGAGTTCCTCAGCATCCCAGTACTCTGAACTGGCCCACTTGCCTGGACCTAAACTACTTGTTCCCTTAACAAAACTTCACTGAGTACTGTAGTTCTTAAATATGTAATGATTATAAATTTTCAAAAAGGTTAGAAAGCAATTCCCATAGTCATCAATACATTTTTTTTGAATTCACAAATAGTTTTTATGCTTATTGGATCAAACTGTGCAGCATTTGCTATTTGAAGTATTTAAACATAATTGGCATATTATAGTATGTAAAATTGGTCTTAAGACTCTAATTTAAAATGTGTTTAAACTTTCAGCTTTGAGTTTTATTTTAAAATATTAAGCCTGCAAAAATATGTGAATGTTTCAGAGAACTTAGAAAGCCACTGTGTTTAATTTATTATGTTTATTAGAGTTAAGCACTTGGGAGCTTGGGGTCAAGCATCTGAAGAGCTGTTTAAAAGAAAATCAAATATATTAAATGTATAAATGATGTTACATTGTTTAAAGGTAATTGAAGTGTAAATGAGATTTTAAAATAAAAAATTCTAGTCTGTTCAGCTTAAATGAACTTTATCAAACATTATTTAAAGGCCCGCTTGAAAGTGATTTTTTAAAATAAATCTATTTATTTATTATGGCTGCGTCGGCTCTTCGTTGCTGCACGTGGGCTTTCTCTAGTTGTGGTGAGTGGGGGTTACTCTTCCTTGCAGTGCGTGGGCTTCTCATTGTGGTGGCTTCTCCTGTGTGGAGCACTGGCTCTAGGTGCGCGGGCTCAATAGTTGTGGCTCGCAGGCTCTAGAGCTCAGGCTCAGTAGTTGTGGTGCATGGGCTTAGTTGCTCCACGGCATGTGGGATCTTCCTGGACCAGGGCTCAAACCTGTGTCCCCTGCCTTGGCAGGCGGATTCTTAACCACTGCACTATCAGGGAAGTCCCGAAAGTGATTATTAAATGTACTAGATTTCTAAATGGAATATTTTTAAGCTTAAGGAAAGTTAAGATTTAAATACTTAAATTTAATAATTACAGTCTTTTTCTATTAACAAACTGCCCTCAACAGACACTAAAAGTAGTCTCAATGGTAAGTAGCTAAATGCCTATTCCACTCGACATAGTTAATTGGACCAGGGATGGAATGTCTAACTCAAGCCTTCTCTGAACAGGGATTTGTAATTGGGATATATAATCACATTTCTTGATCTGGGAAAATGTGGGAAGCTAGGAATACTATGTTTGGGTCATCAATAGAGAAAGCTAGTCTACACAGAGAAAGGAGAATGGAACTCATGTCCAGAAAAAATAACAGACAAAAATCATCCTGCTTCAGCAGGTCAGACTAGAAAGAAGCCATGTTAGTAACTGATGGCTGTTTCCCTCGTATGTTCTGGCTGTATCTCTTCCTTCTAGGGGTCCATGAGGGTCTTTGGAATCCTGCTAATAAATTATTTTTGCTTAGGTGGAAAAAAAATAGATCATGTAATGTGATCATTGTTATTGTCAGTTTATTAATAAAGCATAAATACATTTCTGAAGTTCATCACATATGTTAAAATTTTAAATGTTTTACCAATATACAAATACAAACAAATAATATACCTTAGATTGACTTCTCCCCTAAAGCTCTAGTCTAACAGTCTGCTGTATATTTTCCCCTAGATGTCATACTGGCACATAAAAAACTGACCTTCATAAAACTAAAATCATGTACTTCCTTCCCAAATTAACTTATCCTGACTGGCCTCTGAAAATACCCTGACATTTCCTCTGAAAATAATGCTCAACCTATAGTTATCTCTGTCTCTTCTTCCTTAAACAGTCAGTATGTCAAGCATTTTATATCAACAATTTATTGAGTACTTATTCTGTGCTAGTCTAACAATTTTAGACATACCATCTCATCTAAATCTAAACAACCCATAAAAGGTAGATGCTATAATTTATCACCTTTTTAATAGAGGATGGAGTTAGCTTAGTAATTTACCAAGGACACAGAGCTGGTAAAGATCAAGATCAGGTTTGAAATCAAGCACTTTCATTCCAGAGCCCAGTTTCTTAAAGATGATATAATACTATCTCAGCATTCTAACCCAAGTCCTTACTAGATTATTCATAACTACCACAAAAGTCCTAATCAATAGGATTCATGCATCTATAATTCACCCTATTGTTAAAGGTGAGAAGAAATTCAACCTTCCTTCAGTTTCATTCAATTCTATATAAAACATCAAAGGTTGTCCAGTGCCCTCCAAAATAAGTCCAAACTCCTTAGCCTTATTTTCAACGCTTTTACAATCTGGCTCTAAGCTCAAAACTATTGCCCCCAATTTCAATATTATCACTATAACTTCAATGCTCCATTCATTTACTACTACCATTCCCCCTCTGTACGCCTTCAACTTTTTCATTTCTGCACCTCTATTCATGTTATTCCAACTCAAATGCACCTGTACCTCCTATCAGTGTAAACAATACTCATCCTTTAAAGCCAAGTAAACTAACACCTATGTAGATCATTCCAAGTAAAGTAATCTCGCTCCCCTTTGAAAAAAAACCAACCATCACTGCACTTATTAAAATCCCTCTTGCTTTATTGTGGTTATTTACATTCACCTCTTATCTCCCACCCAATAAAATGTACATTCTCTGAAGGCTGGTTCCAAGACTTCTTCATTATTACTATTATCTTTACAGGATCTGCTACATTATAGACCTAGTAGATACACAGTAAATAGCTAAAGAACAAATATTCCATTCCAATAAAAGAATAATTACAAAAATTATTGTTCTATACAATTATAAGTTTCTATGTTCCATTCACAGAAATAGGCAAATTTTCAATCTGAGACTTATTCAAGTTGAGAGAAAAGCATCCCAGAGGTTTAAAATCATATGATCCATTTAAAAACCAAACACACAACTGAACTTAACAACAGTGAGGTGAAAATCAAAAATCTCATCTTTTGAATGCAATAAAACTCTTCATTCTTATAAAAATTTTCAGTATAGGCAACCTCTAATATAGCTTAATCTATTTCCTTGAATTCAGTAAATGTTGTAAAATTAGTACTAATATATTTTTAAAACTGAACCAAATTTTTCTCTCCCTGTGAGCTACTGGTCCAACATCATAGATGGGACCTATTGTCCACATAAGTCATTTTCAATGCAAACATTAATTTACTCAACAAATATTTACTGGGTGCCTAATCACTATCAATGCCTGGCATAGACAAAAATCCAAACCACACACATTCTAGTGAGAGGACACAGAAAATAAACAAAATATACAGTGAATGAGATGATAAAAGATGATCCAGAGAAAAATGAAGCATAAAAAGGAGATAAAGAGCACTGGGGTAAAGCACAGGAGAAAGGATATAATTTTAAATCAAGTGGTCAAGGAAAAGCTCACTCATCAGAATAAAGACCCAAAGGAGATAAAGGAGCTAATCATACAAAAATCTGGGAAAGAGCAAACTAGTCACAGAGAATAATAAGTACAAAGGTCCTGAGACATAATATTATCCCCTCTTCCATTTTTTCCACTAACCCAAAATATCAAAACAACTATTGGTTAACCTTATCTGTATAGATTAGCTTGGTGCAGCAAACATACTGATATTTCAGGTAGCAAAGGCAACATGAGCAAAAATAAAGAGCAGTGGGGTCTAAAGAATTCAGAAGAATATGAAAAACATGGTGCTCAGTGAATTCTGAGTTAAGTGTGTGGTAAAACCAAATTCTCAGTGTCTTCAGAAATATTCATCAACAGCTCTTTCTGCACAGTAAGCAAGTTGTACACTTAATTTGAAAAGGAAAAAGAATTATACAGACTACATACTAATTTCAAGAATTCTAGTGGTTTAAGAAATTTGCTTCAAAACTGAAAAAGTGTTAGTCACTTTACTACATATTTTAGGTATCTTTTTTTAAATCAAATATTGCTGGACGGCCCTATTTTTGTTCTCATTTTACAGTGTAAATACATGAAGACTTCATCTTGACACCATTGGTCACCCCTGAAACAAATTTAGCAAGAGAATATAGACTAATCAGGTACTTTGTAAAACACTCTGGCAGTTCCTCAAAGGCTTGACATAGGGTTACCATATAACCCAGCAATTCTAATCCTAGATATATACTAAAGAAAAATGAAAAGACATGTCCAAACAAAAATGAGTACACAAATGTTCACAACAGCAATATTCATAACAGATTCAAAGTTAAAATAACCTAAATGGATAAACAAACTATCATATATACATACAATGGAATATTACTCAGCAATAAGAAAAAGAAGCACTGATATATGCTACAATATGGATGAATCTTGAAAACATTATGCTAAATGGAAGACACAAATCACAAAGGATCACATATTTTATCATTCCATTTACATGAAATGTTCAGAATAGGCAAATCTAAATAGACAGAAAGTAGATTAGTGGTTGCTTAGGGATGAAAGGAATTGGAAGGAAATGGAGATAACCAATAACGGGTACAGAGTGCCTTTTTAAAGTGATAAAAACGTACTAAAATTAACTGTGGTAACTGCACAATTCTGTGAATATACCAAAAACTATTAATTGTATAATTTAAATGTGTGAATTGCATGGTATATGAACTGCATCTCAATAAAAATGTTATATACAAAAGATTTAAGTCATAATTTTTCAATAGAAAAAAATTTAAAAGATCAACTAGTTACCTGAGATCTTCTGAATACTTCTTAAAGATACAAAACCTTTTACTTGGACGATTACTATGAAAGCTGGGAGAGACAAAACAGATTTTATTAATTTTACTATACAGTAAGTCATATTAATTTATTAGCTATATATCAAGTCTATACTTAAATCTCTAGTTTTGAATAAAATATTATGATATAAATAATAATATAATGTTCATCATCCCTGTTTCAGCATTTTAGCTTACATTCTTACTTATCTATTTATTTTCTAGTGAAATGTATTTCACTAAGCATATTCTCATACAATCAGCACCTCACCCTCACATAAAAAAAGGAAATACTTAAGAGTTTAAAAAAGTAAAGCATGTCAAATTATTTTCTTCAACTGTTAAGAGTTGAAAACAATTTAAAAGTTTTGCTAATAACATTTTTGCTATAATATGAATGGTTACCAATAAGAATCATTTTAAAAATCCTTTACCAACTTAACATGTTTGTGTTGAGGAAGGGGAGTAGATTCCAAATTATCCTGGAAGTTAACAGTAGTTGAGCTAAATGCCACTGTTGGCATTTGTAAAATGGATTTGTAAAATCAAACATTTAGAATTCTTTGCAATTACTAGTAGAGGTTTTTTTTAAAAAAACAAATTAAAGCAGAACTCTTGAACTAAAACAATGCTTCCCCTAAGCACAGAACAGAAAACCCCTAACCAAGCTTTGTAGCTGATGCTGATAGCTTTTACACACCCTTTTAAATCTGATAAGGAAAGCTTTCCTATACTAGAAAACCAGGATCGGCTTAGCACAGTACTACTTAGCACAGATAAAAGTGGAGTCATAGACTAGTAACATGAGCATCATCTGGGAGCTTATTTAGAAATGCAAAGTCTTGTGACCACCCCCCCTCCCACATAGCTACTGAATTAATCTCTGGCAGTGGGGCCCAGGAATCTGTTTTAACAAACTTTTTCAGTAATTCTTATGCAAGCTAAAGTTTGAGGAGCAGCAGCTTGCAATGATAGACCTAAAGTAGCCAACACACCAAATCAATTCTAAGTCTCAGATACAAGGCAACCATCACCAGCAGAGCATGTATGTATGGGAAAAGAAATACTCTGACCAGTTATAATCCCCAGAGAACATTCTCAGAAGATTTTTAATAGTTATTTCTTCAATCTGGGGATAACTACTACTAAAGAGTTTATAAATTCAGCATAACATGACAAAAATAATTGAATGGTTTTTTAAGGAAGAAACCATCAAGAGGTTGGGAACCACTGAAATAATATGCAAAAATTTGTGCACATAACTGTATTTCCTCAGAGTGTGTCCCAGATTTTATCTGATTCCCAAATAATGTGAACCAAGTAAATTATTTTTTTAATGAGATTTAAAAGTAACTTTTAAAAGCTCTTTCTTCCTTCTCAACAGACTGTTTCGGTTTATTTGGTAAGAGGAGAGGAAAAAATTACGTTTTAGGGTCTTTTGATGGCTTCCATTTCTGTCTATAACTTGCACCTTATTAAAATGTTGGTACTTTTAAAATTTTAGTTGTCTGAATCCAGCTTTAATTTAGAGTTCCCTACCTATAAAAAAAGACTTATACTGTCATTTTATTTATATTTATTACACAAATTCCATTCTTCTAGTTTTGTGTATTATAGGAATGGAAAAGTGGATCTGTAGCTCACCAACAGAGGGAAAAAAAACTACCTTTCTTCTTCCTAATAGACCTGTGTAAAGTTAATAACAATAGGGAAATAATCTAATAAAGGAAAAAAAAGGTTAAGATTTTTATTACGATACAGTAAAACATAACATTAAAATCTAGGTTTTGAAAAGTCACCATCTACTTAGACTATATATACATAACTATCAAAACTCATTAAGCTATTCTCTAAAAATAGATGAATTTTACTGTATATAAATTATACCTCAATAAGACTAGAGGCAAAAAAAACTCCCTTTGACCATCTTGCTTTGATACAAGCAAAAAGTTTACCTCTGAAAAAATACAAAAGTATGCAACAATATTGACAGTATGCCTACTATTAAGACACCAAACTGGAGGTTGATGATACAATAAAGCAGGTTGTTTGCCTTAGAGTTCATGGTCCAGGGTTTGGGGGGGAAGGTTATCAAAAAGCATCTGGCACAGAATAAATGCCTAATAAACATTTGCTAAACAAGTGAATATATATTCATTATCACAGGATAAACATCAACAGTGACACACACACAGTTTTGTGGTTGCATGAGGGAAAGCTGCAGGTAAATGGAGAAGTCAGCACAATTAGTAGTACATTTCAGTTAGGAAGGTCCATATACTGACTTACTCCAGGCAAAGCAAAGAAAACAAGAGTTGAAGGCTCTTGGAAAAGTAGTTAGGAATTAGATATTAAAAGGTCTTACATTCTCCAGAAAATTTGAACTTCATCCTATTAATATTAGGAAGGTAAAGGATTTTAGGCCAAAAAATATCCTGACCAGATATTAGTAACAAAAGAAAGGAAGAAATGGAAAAGGGCCAAAGGGGTGGGTTTGGGACAGAAGACCATTTATGATGCCATCACAATAATCTTAACTGTTTTTCTAATGACTATTATTTAGTGCCAATAAATCTATATAAAAATATAATGAACTAAAGCATATCCTATAAAAATTAATTCAGGAATCTGTCTTATTATTATATAGGAACAAATTGTTATACCAGCTTTTTCCTTGGAAAAATTTTAAATCATCCTTCAAAGCCTAAAATGAAATGTCATTTATACAATACCTTCTCATTTCTTGTTTAAAGAATTCATCGTTACCTTCTCTGGGCTCTCACAGTCATTTGTTTATCACATTAAGCTAGGTAAATATACCTCTCCTACTAAATTGTGAAAATTAAAGGCAAGGACTTTACGATACTGAATAATGACAATTTAGAAATAATACCTAAAATTACTTGAATATCTCCTAAGTGCAAATCATTTTATTAAGCACTTTAACTACATTTCCTCTAATAATCACAGTAACTTTCTCTTCAAGAAAAGGAAAATGGGAATCAGTTAAGTAATTTGCCCAAAGTCACACACGTAATAAATAAATGGTGAAGCTTGGTTTCAAATCCAGATTTGTCAGATTCTTCACCACCAGCTTACCACACTTCTTAGCAAACAGTAAGCTCTGCTACAGAAAGAGATATTAGGTACTTATGGCTGTTACCTTAATTCTATTACATGTAGAGAAAAAAGCCTTCTTTCTTATACATAATGTTGAAGAATAATAGCAATATTACACAGTAATGCATTTTCATTTTTTCAGGTGACTTCTACTGCTACCTAAAAGCTATAAGCAAACAGGGTGCAATAATTTAAACAACCAAACCCAAATAATGCTACTTCTTTAAAAAATCACTTAAAAATTATATGTTATTGATGCTCTTCTTTGTAAGAGTCTTATTCCAAAAATGCTCCAACTGCATAAGATTTTTTAATATCCTCTTTTGAGATTTTATTTAGAGGCTTTCTTTTATAATTACAATAATGACTCTCACTTGCTGTTTGTAATGTGCTAGGTGACATGGTAAATACAAAGAGCCCCTTCTTCTCAAGAAGATAATACAGATACAAACAAAAATAACAAAAGGCAAGACAGATGAATGGCACACAACTCAAAGCAAGGAATGATCCCTGTGAGTGGTTGTGGTGATCAGACACTTCAAAGAAGGTAAAGTGAAAGGAAGGACAGGGGTATTCCAGGGACTAACAAAGAATAAGGAAAAGCCACTTGTCAAAAATGAGTATGGGAGAAAGTTTATTCTGGAGAAGAGCAGTCTGAGACTGGAGGGGAAAAGACCAATTGAGAGTACAGAGGTAGTATGGGATAGGGATTTAAGGGACTCATCCTCTGGAAAAAATGAAGTTTCTGTACATATAAAACTCAAGCCTGTAACAAGAATTCACACTGGGAAGAAGTAGTGGTTGGGCCATTCAATGGGAGATACCTAAGGCAGTGAGTGAGGCAAGGGTACATATGAAGTAGAGAAAAAGGAAAAGTGATTTACCAAACCCTAAGAGTGGCAGTGGAAGCTTTCAGTTCCACATGAGGCTACCCATGAATAAGATTGTGTGTCCTGACAATGAAGTGCAGGGTTGGGGCTCACTGGGAATTGGGATAAGGGTAGAAGGGAGTTGGGCTAACTGGGAATGTGGAGGTTTTATAGGACAAATGAGAAGTCTATGATAAATGGGAAAGGGAAGAGTAGAATGACCCTTGGCTTAGGAAAACACAAAATATTTTCCGATTTGATCCCCTATAAACTAAGGGCAGAATTAAGGCCGTATTTGGGGAGCCATACATTTGTCAAAGAACAAGAGACATTCAACACAGAAGTACACTTGGGAAAGGATGGCCGACCCCTGGTTTAGAGGAAATGGATTATAGGTGTAGTCCACTGTAGTAGGTGGGAGGCAGAGAGGCATAATGCAGAAGGTGTTGTCTCAGGAAGCCATGATGCACAGTGGCAGATCAAGGGAACTTCACAAGCTTAAGATACTTGCAACAGTGAATTTTTTTCCAGCTGGTATTCCACATTCACACAAATGATGCCCTGAAAGAGTATTGGATGGTAGTAAAGTGAATTCTGGAAAGATGATAATGTTTGGTTTATTTAGGTTCTTTTTAGATGCCAATGAGTCAAAGGTAAAAACAAAACAAAACACGAAATAATTAGAAATACAGAGTTAGATCTCAGGAAAACTAAGGAATGAAACTGGAAGATTCAAAGTTGAAAGGTAAAAGTGACAGTGGTTACATTACGAAGAAAGGAAATGTAAGGAGGCGAGAAGAGCTGAAGGAAGGCAATGAATAGGAGCAGGCAAAAAGGAAGAAGAAAAATAGTGGTAACGGTTAAACACAAGCTGAGAAGAACAGTTTCAAAAGTGAGTGACAACAATGACTCTAAAGAAGTCATAGAGTAGTAAGAGTGAAAAAATGTGAATAAATACCGGGATCGGTACTTGACAGATAATCTTTAAAGGGGCAGTGTTAGTTGGTACGTGAGGATGATACTCAAATTAAAAGGTAAAGAAATGAATCATGAATATGCTAGTAACAAATACTTTTTACAAATGTTCATGGTAATAAGAAGACAAGAGATAAGGAAAGTAGGGAGTAAGGACAAGTCTCCCTCAACTTAAAAAAAATACCTGAAATCATCTGTAAGCAGAAGGAACCTGGTAGATAGAAGATGAAGCTGCAAATTAACTGAATGAAGTTGTGGAAGAACTAGAGGAGATAAGGGGCAGGGTTAACTCTGGAGAAGTAGAACATGTTTGATTTCTGAGATTAATGCCTGGATAAATGTAACAGGAAAAAAATTTGAGGCTGAAAAGATTAATTAAAAGGATGACCTCCAACTGTGTATTTGTAGGCCATGTTAATAACTAAGAGAATCCGAAATAAAATCTTTAGAGTACCAAAAAAATGTTTAATCAGATACTGTAGGTAAGAATAAAGAAGTATTTAAAAATAAAAAGACAGGGCCCAATTCAAGTTAAAGATCATGAGTCAGAGTTGACTGAATCAAGCACTATTTGGGGGTCTAGAATTGAGCATAAAGTTCAGAAGAAGATGGTCAAGTCTTTGGCCTTTATGCCAGGTAAGCATGACTAAATGTGTAAAGGATTCTAGAACAAAAACAAAGCAGCAATCAAAACAGATGACCCTGAGGGTGAGGATGACTATAGTTAGATAGGTGCTGCTGGACTGGAAAAAGAACTCAAAGCCCAGAAAGTCATTGGGAAATGGGAATTCAAAAGAAATGAACAGTATATATGACAAGATTAAAATAGTACTGTGGTAAGAAAGGGGGTACAAGTCTAAAGCTGATGTAAAGCACTGGCACTAAAGAAGTCAAGTTACCATAATGTCAGGCTAGTCATCAAGGGGGTTAAAAAACTGTGAGAGAGGTGCCGGAGCCATCAAGAAACGTGGGAGAGTCCTTGAAAGGAGTACCTGATAATGACCAGAAAGTAACACAGAGGTCTATAAGAAAATCACTTTTATTAATCATATTCTAACTTTTGAAAAAACGGAACCTCACTTTGAATAATCAGCCTAACTGGCTTATATCTGAACAACTTTTGACTATTTTTTAAAATTTTATTTATTTATTTTTTAAAATGTTTTATTCTCATAATCTTTCACTATTTTTTTTCTTTTTTTTTTTTTTGCCACGCCACGTGGCATGTGGGATCTTAGTTCCCTGACCAGGGATGGAACCCACACTCCCTGCACTGGAAGCGCAGAGTCTTAACCACTGGACTGCCAGGGAAGTCCCAATTTTTGACTACTTTAAAAAAAATAAAAATCCATCCTGAAGGATGCCCCAACTAATGAGATACAAATGAAGATAACATAGGCTATGAAGGTGCTCTCTGCATAGAATACTCTAATTATCTAAGTTGAATGAATTAAAGAAAAATAATTCCAACAATGGCATCATGACCGAAATAGTCTCTCATTCCACTGAATGAATGCAAGGAGACATGGCTTGATGGATGGATGGACAGACAGATGCATTACAGAGAAAAAGAGAGAGGGAAACAGACTCAATGAAGTGTCTAACATCACTGAAAACCCTGGAATCTCTCAAAGTGACTGCTTTGAAGAGAATAACACTCATGATTACATGTATTTGTTTCATAAATATACTTAAAACATTTACTTTTCTGTCTTTGGAAGTAACCATGTTTGAAAGTTCTGTAGGAAAAAAAATTCCCATAGAAAAACTATTTTCCCTAACAAACCTATCCTAATTTCATTAGTCTAACTGTTCTTAAAATTCGAGTTTCCAGGAACTTCATGAATTACTATGCTGAAAAATAGTGCCAGGAATCATCTTAGAAGTTTTCTTAGAAGAGAAAAACTGACTTCTAATAGGATAACTGTTTTCCAAAACAAACTTGCTGAACTGTAATTTTAATTGGTAATTATAGATGTTTAACTCATCTTACCTCATCATATGATTCACATAGGCTTTGCTACAGCTAGTGTTGTATCTGCAAAAACTACAGTGGACATATGTAGGAAAATGGTTTGCAAAATCTTTTATTTCAGAACAACACTCAATGCACTTGTGAACTCCCCGACGACACCTTATAGAGATATAAAGAAAATGATAAAAATATATTTTAAAACAAAAATAATAAGGGACCACCTTATTAATTTTCTGTTAATTAAAGCTAAGGTGTTTAAATTAACATCTTCAAACAGAGACTTATTATTTGAAAAATCTGCTATGGAACAGCAGCTAGAATAAGTATAAAAAATCTAATATCAGCTAATGTTTCTTACTGGAAAAAAGGGATTAATCAATTGGTTAAATTAACCAATTCAAACATCACAAGATATAAGCACAACATAAAACACCACTGTAATAAATGAATATTATAGAAAAACAGTAATTCAAGTACTTTTCAACTGTTGTAAAAAATATTTTTTATTATTTGCTTGGCCTTAAGTGACAGTGTATAAATGTACAAGAGAGTTGTGTAATAGGGTAAATTTATATTAAATAAAGTTTTTATACTTAAGATTAAATTAGTATTGTGTATCAAGAATAAAAGATTACCTTAAATTCCTCAATGCTGTATTGACTTTACTTTTTTTATTGCTACTAGCCAATGTGCTTTGTTTCTTTTGCATATTAGATATTTTTGATTTGTATTTAGATTTACTTCCATTAGGCTTACTTGCATTAGGTTTACTTGCAATGGATTTAGTTATATTAGGTTTACTTGTGTTAGATTTTGTGGGATTTTTAGCAGTTATATTTTTAGTCCTTGGAGGTGAGAGCTGAAGGGTAGAAGTGCTTGCACTAATGGTAGGTGTAGTTGAAGATCCTGATTGAAGAGGGCCAACTGAAGCTCGAATAGTAACCTACAAAAATGAAGATAATATTTGCTTTAGAAAATTAATCACTGCATTACTGTTAAAATATCACTGCATAACGAAAAGTTAAACATCAAGTTTTTGGAAAGGGCAAGTATAAACTGTAACTGGTAAGTCTTCCATTTATTCTAAATGTTCATATCAATTAAATGAAATTAAACTTGATATTTACTCACTTGTAATCTTACATTTTTGTACTGATATCAGTTATATGTTAAGAGTTATTAATGGATAATTAGGAGTTAAAGCAAATTATATGAATATTAAAAGAGCACATTCCATAGCTATTTCTATGCTCTGATATAACTAAAAATTCACAAACACAGAGGTCAAAATTTAAATCTCAAAGCCTAGAAAGGACTGTGTTACCCTTCGACAACTATAAAACAAAGAGATCTACAGTAAATGTGACTTCTTTCCAGGGGCTCATTGGGCAGGATTTATGTTTACAAAGGTTATGTGAGGGGTTATATATCAATTCACTATACTGCAGGGCGAGTTTAATAATACTTAGAATTTCCTTAAAGGAAGCTAATAACAAGACTTAACATTTGGTATTAAGAAATTATATTTGCTGGTTGACAATGAAAAACACAACTGCTCCAACTTTCTCATTAATCATTTGACTATACACCCCGCCCACAGCCTATGAGGAAGTACCATGAAAAACATGTGCTTTAGTATCATACAAAGGCATTGGACTAGGAATCAAAAGACCTGAGGTTAAAGCTAATACCACTCCTTTCTAGCCATGTGACCTTAAATCAGTAACATCCTCTCTAAGCTTCTTTATCTATAATAAGGGACAATACTTCCCTCGTCTACCTCACTGGCTTACTATATGGATTAAATAATAGAATATATGAATAAACATAACAAAAGCCTAATTCTAAGGTGCTATAAAAACATTTAGTATCATTATTATTATTATTATTATTATTAAGGGAAAATATGAGAGAGGACTGCACTGCTTACATTAGTGTTCTGCATGTCTAGTCCCAGCATGGAATGAATGGATTGCAGGGAAGGATGCTGGATAGCTTCTCTTGCTCTAGGTCTTCAGAGCATGGCTTTATATTGTTTTAGTTAATTCAAATAACAGACATACCCACATTCAAAGGTAAGAACCCAAAGCCAAATATAAATGTTTTGGGGATTATTTCACTTTGGATTATCCATGCCTCTGTTTCCCTCCACTGGAGCAAATATTCAAGAGCTGACTGTGTATAAAGAAGTCAGAAAAAACAGAGGTATATAAGGCAAAAAGGGAAAAGTAAATTACAATCATCAGTATGCAGTCAGACATGTGTTTGCTCACTTAAAACATAATGCTATCCAGCAGCAGAACTTGCTTCTCTGAGAGTAGACTCAGTAATAACAATTTCAATAAACATCTGAGAACCTACAGCATTCAAGGCACTATACCAGATGCTGAGGACACAAAGATAAATAAAACATGATTCCTGATCTCAAGCATCTTACAGTTTAACAGATAAAAAAGACATATACACTGCCAACTGGAATAGCTCCAAAATAGCCTATGTAACATTGACATAACCCATTAACCCTGGAACAGTTAATCTAGCTATACTTTTTACAAAGGAATACCACTCTAGAGTTGCACACACTACTGACCAAAAAGCAATGGTTAGATGTTTTATTCCTAAACATAGGAATGGTAAAACCTAAAATTAAAGTCTTAATTAAATCAGAAATCATTTTTAAAGTATTCTATTCAATAAATAAAACCAGGCAGAAGTTGTCTATTATCATACAAAATGTTAAAATACAGCATATTTGAACTCACTTTTGTTCCTGGAGGCAATCCTTCTAGTTGTTTAGGTTTTATAAATGTCCGATGATGCTGAGTCTTGTGATCCATTTTCTCTTTGCATGTTAAAAACTGTAGTCTGCATTTTGTACAACGATGTATTCCTTTTTTCTGTTTAGAAAACAGAAAAAGTGAAGAAAAATAATTTCTACAACCACAAATATTGTGTCCTGAAACTGCTCTGATTTAATTTTAATGATACTAATTTTAAAACTAGTATTTTACATCTCTTAACATATATAATAGCAAAATATGGTTTTATTTTTTAAAACATTCTTTGCATTAGTATTTAGGTTTCAAAAATGTCTGTTACTATCCAGAAATTGAACATGAAAGTTGCATCAATAGATTCTAATTAAAGTTCTCTCAATAGTGCTATGAAAGCTCTTTTTTTTTTTTGCGGTACGTGGGCCTCTCACTGCCGTGGCCTCTCCCGCCGCGGAGCACAGGCTCCGGACGCGCAGGCTCAGCGGCCATGGCTCACGGGCCCAGCCGCTCCGCGGCACGTGGGATCCTCCAGGACCAGGGCATGAACCCGCGTCCCCCGCATCCGCAGGCGGACTCTCAACCACTGCGCCACCAGGGATGAAAGCTCTTTTAATTATAATTTTAAAGTACTTAGACACATGATACTGTGAAAATGAACTATACTACATTTTTATCCTATAAAAGAGTAAATTCTTTTTAATTTTTGCTATTTCTAGTTGGTTGACAAGTTGGAAAAATAAATTCAAATAGCCAACCACAGATTTCAGAGAAAGTTGTTATAGCAATGGTTGTATAAAGCAGTGTTGTCTAAATAAAACTTTCTTCAATGATGAAAACGTTCTAGAGCTGCACTACCCAATACAGTATCAACTAGACATATGTGGTTAATGAGCACCTGAAATGTGCCACGTGCAACTGAGCAAACAAATTTTAAATTTTATTTAATTTGAATTAATTTAAGGTTAAATAGCCACATACAGCTAGTGGCTACAACATTGCACAGTGTGGATATGGAAGCATAAATAAAAACAACTATTCCCAATCCACTTACTGGCTGAGACCCCTTGACTAAGTCCCTCCTCAAACTTAATCCTGTTATTATTCCACAGATGGGAAACAGGACCCAAGGAAAATCCAACTCACTTTCCCATAGCTATTCAGTGACAACTGCCAGACACGAAATCCAGTGTTCTTTCTACTACACAATATCAACTACAATATTGATATTTATGCTTTCATTAATTTAAAAATTATATATGTATATGCAAACATATATATAAACTGAAACAACATATAAATACAAAAGAATGTTTTCTCTAAAGCTACGATCTGCCAGATACATCACTATTTCCATTTAAATACAATCAATCATTTATAAAATTCGAACAGATAATACACTGGGAAGTACCTAGCACAGTACTGGCACACAGCAGGCATTTCATAAATAAAAGTTCTTTTCAAAGTTCAAAGCAATATATAAATATAATATGTTTGTATTGTATTTTAGGTGCATCTTAAGACTATTTTAGAAGTGTGATGCATTCTTGGAGGTACAGGCAACTTAAATTCACTCATATTTGCTCAAAGAAGAGGAAGAAAAAGAGAAAACGTGGGCAAGAAACAGATACCAAGTCAAGAGGACAGAAAAAAAGTTCTCCAGGATCCAGTACCCAGAAATCTTTTCTCTATCTATAATCCCTCCCGAGGTTACCTTTTCATTTCACCGCTTTAAGTATCAACTATCCAACTACCTACTTGATATCACTACTTGATGTCTAATATGCATCTCAAACCAACATGGACGAAACTGAATTCTGGATTTCTTCCCTACCTTCCTGCCCCCCAAAATATGTTCTTTCCTCAGTCTTCACCATATAACAATATATGAAAATTCCACTCTTGCAGCTGCTTAGGACAAAAAACTTAGTCACTCTCTCTCACATCCCATATCCAACCCATTAATAAAAGGTGTCAGCTCTACCTTCAAAAACTGTCATAATATTTCCACTTATTACCTTCAACCACTGCTACAATACTTGTCCAAGACACTCAACTTGACTAATAATAACCTCCTATGTTCTCCCTTTCATATTCTTTCTTCCCTATGGTCTATTCTCTTCACAGCTGCCAACGATCTTAAAACATGGCAGATCTTTCACATGCCTAAAATGCTGATGGTTTTCCAAAGTCCTGATTCTGGTTTACAAGGCTCTATATGAATTGGCCTGCATTCTATTGCTACAACCTTATTTCCTACTACTTTTCCTCTTATTACTTTACTCTGCTCCAGCCACAGCTGGCCTCTGTGATGTTCTTTGAGTGCTCCAGGTACACACTCACTTCACTCCCGATATAATGTTACTTCTCCCAGATTTCCTCACAGCTTACTCCTTTATTTCCTTCAGAGAGGCCCGTTTTTGGCCACTATATATACAAGACAAGGCCACTATATATACATGACATTGCTCTAATAATGTCATCTCAAATACAAGTTTTTGCTCAGCTATAAGTTTCCAGTCTTTTGTAAATAATCATACAAATTGTAAATTTCTTGAGGATGCATGATGATCCTTCTTATTGATAGATTTTCCCCTCTTAACTGCTAGCTGTCTACCTCCTAGGTGCTCCAAATACACAAAAAAGAAAACTGGACACGCATGTCAAGTGAAGACATAAAACTCAGGGTATAAAAACTGATTAAAAATCACACAGCCAGGGAGGAGCTTCAAGATGGCGGAAGAGTAAGACGTGGAGATCACCCTCCTCCCCACAAATACATCAGAAATACATCTACATGTGGAACAACTCCTACAAAACACCTACTGAATGCTGGCAGAAGACCTCAGACCTCCCAAAAGGCAAGAAACTCCCCACGTACCTGGGTAGGGCAAAAGAAAAAAGAAAAAACACAGACAAAAGGATAGGGACAGGACCTGCACCAGTGGGAGGGAGCTGTGAAGGAGGAAACGTTACCACACACTAGGAAGCCCCTTTGCGGGTGGAGACTGCGGGTGGAGGAGCGGGGGGAAGCTTCGGAGCCACGGAGGAGAGTGCAGTAACGGGGGTGCGGAGGGCAAAGTGGAAAGATTCCCCCACAGAGGATCGGTGCCGACCAGCACGCACCAGCCCGAGAGGCTTGTCTGCTCACCCGCCAGGACGGGCGAGGGCTGGGAGCTGAGGCTCCGGCTTCGGTTGAACCCCAGGGAGAGGACAGGGGTTGGCTGCGTGAACACAGCCTGAAGGGGCTAGTGCGTCACAGCCAGCTGGGAGGGAGTTTGGGAAAAAGTCGGGACCTGCCTAAGAGGCAAGAGACTTTTTCTTGCCTCTTTGTTTCCTGGATCGCCAGGAGAGGGGATTAAGAGTGCCGCTTAAAGGAGCTCCAGAGACGGGCGCAAGCGGCGGCTATCAGCGCGGACCCCAGAGACGGGCATGAGACGCTAAGGCTGCTGCTGCCGCCACCAAGAAGCCTGTGTGTAATCACAGGTCACTCTCCACACCTCCCCTCCTGGGATCCTGTGCAGACCGCCACTGCCAGGATCCCATGATCCAGAGACAACCTCCCCGGGAGAACGCACGGCATGCCTCAGGCTGGTGCAACGTCACACTGGCCTCTACCGCCGCAGGCCCGCCCCGAACTCCGTAACCCTCCCTCGGCCCGGCCTGAGTGAGCCAGAGCCCCCGTATCAGCTGCTCCTTTAACCCTGTCCTGTCTGAGCAAAGAACACACGCCCACAGGCGACCTACACGCAGAGGCGGGGCCAAATCCAAAGCTGAAGCCCAGCAGCTGTGCAAACAAAGAAGAGAAAGGGAAATCTCACCCAGCAGCCTCAGGAGCAGCAGATTAAAACGCCACCATCAACTTGACGTACCCTGCATCTGTGGAATACCTAAATAGACAAGGAATCATCCCAAATTGAGGAGGTGGACTTCGGGAGCAACGATATATTTTTCTTCCCTTTTCCTCTTTTTGTGAGTCTGTATGTATATGCTTCTGTGTGTGATTTTGTCTATATAGCTTTGCTTTAACCATTTGTCCTAGGGTTCTGTCTGTACGTTTTGTTTGTTTTTTAGTATAATTTTCAGTGCTTGTCATCGGTGGATTTGTTTTTTGGTTTGGTTGTTCTCTTCTTTCTTCCTTTCTTTTTTAATTACTTTCAAAAATGTTTTTAATAATTACTTTTTGCTTTTATTTTAATAACTTTTTAATTTTATTTTATCTTTTTCTTTCTTTCCTTTTTTCTCCCTTTTATTCTGAGCCATGTGGATGACAGGCTCTTGGTGCTCCAGCCAGGTGTCAGGGCTGTGCCTCTGAGCGGGGGGAGAGCCAAGGTCCAACAGAGACCTCCCAGTTCCACATAATATCAAAAGGCGAATATCTGCCAGAGACCTCCAACTCAACGCCAAGACCCAGCTCCACTCAACGACCAGCAAACTACAGTGCTGGACACCATATGCCAGACAACTAGCAAGACAGGAACACAACACCACCCATTAGCAGAGAGGCTGCCTAAAATCATAATAAGGTCACAGACACCCCAAAACACACCACCAGACGTGGACCTGCCCACCAGAAAGACAAGATCTAGCCTCATCCACCAGAACACTAGTCCCCTCCACCAGGAAGCCTACACAACCCACTGAACCAACCTTAGCCACTGGGGGCAGACACCAAAAACAACAGGAACTATGAACCTGCAGCCTGTGAAAAGGAGACCCAAAACACTGTAAGTTAAGCAAAATGAGAAGACAGAGAAATACACAGCACATGAAAGAGCAAGGTAAAATCCACCAGACCTAACAAATGAAGAGGAAATAGGCAGTCTACCTGAAAAAGAATTCAGAATAATGATAGTAAAGATGATCCAAAATCTTGGAAATAGAATGCAGAAAATACAAAAAACGTTTAACATGGACCTAGAAGAACTAAAGAGCAAACAAACAACCATGAACACCACAATAAATGAAATTTAAAATTCTCTAGAACGGATCAATAGCAGAATAACTGAGGCACAAGAAAGGATAAATGACCTGGAATATAAAATAGTGGAAATAACTACTGCAGAGCAGAATAAAGAAAAAAGAATGAAAAGAATTGAGGACAGTCTCAAAGACCTCTAGGACAA